GTAATTTCGAGAAGCGGTAGGTTTGTCTCTATATGGCCAGAGATAGACTTCATACCGCGGACAAGGAGTAAACAATGCACAGAGTTGGCTCGCGCAACAATACCATACACATTTTCTCCTCTTAAGAAAAAGGGTGAATTAACAAGTTGTATGAGGAATTTTTAACCTCCGTCAGCGAATAATCAAAAATAACATTTCAGTTATCTGGGAACGAGTAGAATCTTAGCAAAACGAAAAATTAAAACGCAATGGTCACAGTTTGTGTCTGCATAATGTATATAAAACATAAACCGATGAAGTTTAATTACGCCAAAGGCCTTTAAGTAACCTTAAAGACCCTTTGATCAAGCATAATGAAGCCTGAAATTGTCGTAGAGTATTTAGTGATCTGGCAACCCACAATGAGTTAAAACTAGTGTAGGTATCAAAACTATCATTCACAGTACCAGAACATGTGTTTGCGAATATAGTACCTGAATAGGAGGAAAACAGGACATTCGGGAATTCGATAGACCTAAAAGGCCGCGGTATTCTGGTCTAAATTTAACTAATTACTTATACTGTTTATAACATAATAATAATAATAAATTATTCATAAGAGATACAATTTATAATATACTTACATATACAAAAACTATAGTGAAAAAATAAAAAAACTCCACAGGAGGCAGGGCCTGTACGTAGAGTGCATAAAATTATAAAAACTTATATTTAAATTCAATTAAAAAAAAAGGTAATAACTAAAAAACTAACACTAAAAAAAATCATATAAAACTATAATGCGAGAAAGAAAGTACTCTTAAATTGTGAGATGTCGATGAGGATCTTAAAATAAGTATTAAAAATTGATTCTATTTTTTTATATAATTAAGTAATTTGACTAATTTTTTTTAATTAATTTTTATGAAGATGTTGATATATTAGAACGATTTTAGTGAACAGTTTTGGAATATCCACTATTTTAGTTTCTAAAAATAAATCATTTGAGGAACACCTAAATGGTTTTTTAAAAATAATCACTTTGTTTTCCATTTATCCTAACAACAAAGGTAAAGATGTGTATTAATTGTGTTCATAGTGCAAGTTGTACAAAAAATGCTCTAAACTCACTTTAGATAGCAGGGGTTTAATTTTTAACTGGTTATATTCAACGTACAAATGACATTTTTAAAACTAGGTTTAACAATAACCTATGAGTATACAACAAAGTTCACAGTTTAAACGAAGATTACATTTTAACTGTCTATTGTACAACCCGCCCATATGAAATTTATTCAAGAACCTAGGTTACACACAACAACGTTTCTCTACGCCGCTGTAAAAGTAGGCACTCATCATCCATGCCTTCTCAAATAATGTATTTTGCAATGCGTCTATGTTACTCGTTGTATCGTTAAACCTCAACTTAAACAAATCCGTAATTTACAACGTTGTTGTTGTTCATGTAACCGTGTTGTAGTTTACTTAATACCCTTATTAATGCTCTCATCGATTATCGAATAATAGTGTGTTTAACTATGAAACGAGCCAAGCCGCAAAACAATTTTAACTCTATAAATATAATTGTATATTTTTGGATATCATTTAGGGTAATTTTACCAAAAATGGAATACCAGAGCGCTGTTACAAAAAGTATCTATAGTCTATTTTTATGTATGAGAGAGTAATAAAACAGTATTTCTAATGCAAAACTCAATACGGTAATTTTAAATATTTTTACAGAATAATCTAAATATTTCCTAAAATTGTAATAAATGTACCTGAGCTATTACAAGTTTATGGGTCTTTTATTGGTCCTTTATAAACATAAGCTGTACAGAACAATAGAAAAAGGTATTGGACAGGCCAAAAGCCATGTGTATTAAATATTTCATAGCCGTATCTTAAGATTATTTTTAATTTTGCCAATTTTGTTTTATTTTAATTCCAAGAATTTCTTACAGTAATCGAATTATAAGTAGATATAAATACTTTTCCAACAAATTTCACCGAAAATGCGATTATAGGTTTTCCATTTAGTAAGGAGGTCCAAGTTGTGTATTCTTGACAGTTTACTAAATTTCGTTTAGTTGCAACTTGCAAGGTGCAGTGTGAATTCTAGTGTGATCATGGAAAATTTGAAAGGGCCGCGTAAACGACAAAAAATCGGTCCTTTAACAGTTAATGAAAAAACATTAATATTTAATTGTTTTAAATCATTTACAGACAAACATTTATGTAAAAGTGTTGATGACAGTGGAATTAGTTAGTAGTACGCTTGGTGTTGAGAAATCTACGATTTACAGAGTTGTTTAAGAAGAGAAATGTGGCGAGTTTCAAACATCACGTAAAGCTCCAGGAAAACCAAAATTTCAATTAGAAAATCTTTTGAGAGAAATACTTCGAAGGAAAGTGCATGCGTTCTTCTTTAGAAAAGAATTTTCGACATTAGACAAAGTTCTTGCCACGGTTCGAGATGATAAGGATTACCCTGAAATGAGTCGAAGCACACTATGGAAACTTTTAAAAGAAATAGGTTTTCTATGGAAAAAGCATTCCAGAAAGTCTATTTTAATAGAAAGAAGCGATATTGTAGTATGGAAAAAAAAATGACCTAAGGACTATAAAAGAAATGAGAAACCAAAGAAGAAATATATTTTATTTAGATGAAACATGGATCAACGAGGGACATAAACCAAATAAATTTTGGCAAGATGAAACTGTTACAAGTCGAAGACAGGCTTTTTTTAATAATTTATTTACTGGTTTAAATCCACCATCAGGAAAGGGGCGCAGACTAATAATAGTACACATCGGTAGTTCAAACGGTTTTGTTAAAGGTGGTTTATTGACTTTTGAATCTACTCGTACCGGTGACTACCGGTGACATGAATTCTGATGTCTTTAAAGAGTGGTTCGAACAAATTATAGATCTTCTTCCTCAGAACTGTATAATAGTAATGGATAATGCAAGTTATCACTCGATACTTATGGAAAAAATGCCCACAACCAAGTGGTTAAAAAAAGATTTACAGAATTGGCTAAATTCAAAGAATATTAAGTTCCATCCCGCTTCTGTAAGAAAAGAACTGTATCATTTGTGTTCCCTTCATAAAGATAAATTCAAAAAATATGAAATTGATGAAATTAAATAAAATCGTGGGATGACGGTGGTTAGATCACCACCATATCATTGCGAAGTAAACCCGATTGAACTGATATGGGCACAGATAAAGGGAGAAGTTTTAAGAAAAAATAATTCTTTAAAAATGAGTGATGTTAAACAGTTGTTGTTGGAGGCTGTAAATAATGTGAAGCCTGAAAACTGGAAAAAGGCAGTAAATCATACGACTAAAGAAGAAGAGAAAATGTGGAAGTTGGACAATATTACTGATGAAATGATCGGGCCACTCATTGTTAATATTGGTTGCGACAGTTCATCTTCTGATTTCGATTCTGATTTGGATTTGTAGGTAAGAAGTAGTTTTTATAATAAAATTATTATTTATGAACGTAACGTTGTTTAAAAGTCAAAGTTTAAACCCTTATATCTACATAACTTGTTTGACACAATGTTCTTAACATACCTTGTGGAAAAATAAAACATTTTAGAAAACATTGCACTTTTTACATTCAGCTGTTTAGAAGTTATAAGCAGGTTAATTAGGTGAAAATATAAGTGTATACTCGAGGAATAACTTCAAAAAATATGTCTACTAAAAACTATCTACTAAAAGAAGTGATACGCCTATGGATTACGAACGCTTTATTATTTTAATACTCTCTCATACATAAAAATAGACTATAGATGTCTTGTGTTAGAAATAAATATTGATCTTTAAAAGGTCTTTGATACTCTTTTTAATAACTTAAGAATTTATAAAGACCTTGTTGTTTTAAAATAATTGTTTTTTATTTGAATTTCTTATGTATTTTTAAGAGGTAAGTTGTAAGTTGCTTTTCCAAGAGGTAGCAGCTTCTATTTCTAAGAGGTAACCTGTATAATAGGATGGGTCGAAAAACAGAAAGTTACACAGATAAAAGGCAACTCTTAATATTAGATTTTAAATTATCTTGGCTCTTGATTATCTTCTCTAAAGGAAATAATCTTGAATGACGATTATGTATTCTTAGTAAAAGAGTTTTTGTCGTCTTGCCGTTTATCCATGATATTCTTGCCAAATAAAATCCTTAGTTACAGGCTGGTGATCTTAAAAATGTAACATTCAACTTCGGTGATCTTAAACTGAGACTCTGATATGTGCAATTAGTCAAAATTGCAATAATTCTCTTGTTAGAAGAACACGTCCCCTCCCTCCACGCGGTCAAGTTACCGGTTAGGTGTGGTGTGATGTGTTTCATCATTCTATTGTTAGTTGTTAGTCGTTATTCTAATATCGAAGTAAACGGAAGTGTTGCGTGTTATTGTTAAAAAAGTTTGCAGTACGAGTGAACTATCAGAATTTTTGAACAAATGGAAAATAGGGCATCTGCTTGTCGCCTTTGAAGGTACGTACTTACATATACATACATATGATATTAAAATCTGTTTAAGTATTAATTGTGCTTAGTTCAAAAGAATTATTGCATTAAAAATATTCTGTCATGTAATTAGTAAATATGCAACGAAGATTTACTAAATGTTTTGTATAATTTCTTGTCTTGTAATTAGTAAGTTCATATTGAAGATTTACTAAAGAATGTTCTGTATCTATATAGCTTTTAGTTATTCATTAAAAGACGCCATTTTTATAGAAATTAAGCATCCTATTAGAGCCTCAATTCAAGATAATTGCCTAAAATCAAGGACATATATATTTTTATTAAAAACTTGGAAATCTTGTAGAAAGATTATTTTATTAGCAGTAAAGCCTCAATTCAAGATAATTGTCTAAAATCAAGAATATTAGGTCTTTTAAAGAAATATTTTAGAATCTTATAGAAAGATTATTCTATGGAAGTAAAACTTCAATATTAGATTAATTGCTTAAAATCAAGGATATAAATTATGTCTTTTTAAGAAAGACTTCGTCTGATGTACTGTTCCATTGGAAAAACTCCTACAAAATACGTAAATTGGAACCGGCGGAAACCATCGAAAGTTTCATAGAAAAATGGCCTATTTTAAAGAGTCCTTTAGCTCCAGAACTGGTATGCGATATTAATCTAGAAAATTTTATTTCTTTGCAATAACTGCCTTTTTTTAAGGTAAATGTGGACTTTCAAATTAAACATAGTCAACCAGAGGATTTTCATTTGGACAATTTTCACAATTTTTTCGATGCTGTGTTGGCTTTAAGGAAAAATTCGTTAACGGCGACAGACACTACGCTATTAGAATTATTGGATGGGGAATTAACAAATGGTAAATATATTATTTGTAAGTCCCTTCCCCTCTATTCATTTCCATTGTATTTGCTCTATTCTAAACACAACGTTTTTCTTTCGTAGATTCAGCTACAGCAATAAAATTGTATATATTACCAGCATTAGTTCCTCCCAAGACTCAGGTTCAAGCGGGTAAAACCAATTGGAAACCGTCGATAAGTGAGGCACGAGATGCTTTTTTAGTACATGTCAAAATTCCGGGAGATTTAGAAAAAGCAAAAAAGGATCAAATTGTCTATATGTTTAAAAAAGAATTAACCGTTCAACCATATATAATACTAATAGAACCGACATTAAGTAATATTACAGGTAGCTTTGTCATGGTTAACAATTATGAATACAAATGTAACTGTGTTTTATTAAAAAGAGTTTATATTTTATTTATTTTTTTTTTAGTTGGGTTTAGCTCACTGCCTTCTTTTTATAAATTTTTAACAGAATAAATGTATCAAAGTTTAATTTCTGCTCATTTGTTTTATTTCTGATAAATTCCAAATTCCGTTATATTTAATATTCCCTTTAAATTTTTTATTTTAAGAGTTTGAAAAAGTATCTTTTTGTAATTGTTTTATATGCAGAAGAAAGTTCTAAGGAGTAAAGTGAGAGCTCAATTGTTTTTATGAATAGATTTGCTTTCTGCAGAAAAAGATACAGATTTTGTATTATTTTTTTATATATAAAAATGAAAGTAAAGGATTTGCAAATATCTTAAGACATTGTGCACCATTCAGGCTTTGATTTAAAGAAATATACAATATGTCTACTTAAGTCGGCACCATATCAGAATTTTTTTATTATTAGTTTTATGCAAAAAAGTATTCGCCATAAAAGTTCTGCTTGGTCTAAACCCAAAATTCAACTATTAAATATATTTTTTTTCAGTTACGTAGGTACGAAGTTCATCTGAAAATATGAATTTTATGCAAGAGTAAATATCCTTATTTTTAACAATTTTGAAAATTGTAATAAAGGAAAGTTTACCAGAATTATTGAAAACTACGGTCATACATTTAATATTATTTGTCTACTAAAAAACTTTATCTCTAATGCTTTTTGACCAAAATACGAAATATACATTTAATTTTGCAAATCGTAGAACTGATTTTTAATGGTTGAGATAATATTAAATATCTTACAGTAGTTTTTAATTCTGATCAAGTTTTCTTAACAAAAATTTTGAATGTTGTAAAAAAATAAAGGTAATTTACTCCCACATAAAATTCATATATTTCGACAAACCTCGTACATGACTGAAAAAATGTAATGCCTAATGACTGCATTTTTGGTTTTATACCGCGCAGAACTTTTATGAAAATATCTTTTTTTTTAACTGATAATAAAAAAGTTTCCCATATGGTGCCGACTTAATTAGACACTCTGTATACTCTTGAACGAAGAAACTATTGTTCTGTTCCAAGTAAATATTCTCTTGTCCAAATAAAATATTTTCTTGATTGATGGAAATGTTCTCTTTAATAAACAAAATATTCTCTTAATTGAAGAAAATATTCTCTTAATCGAAGAAAATATTCTCTGGATCAAAGAAAATAATTCTCTTGATCAAAAAAAAATATTGCTGAACCTAGAAAATATTTTTTGATCGAAGAAAATATTGTCTTGGGCCAACAAAATAATCTCTTGAAACAAGAACATATTTTCTTGGGTAAAGTTTCATGTGATTGAAAGAAAATCATAAAAATCTTAAACTAAAGTAATACACGAATATAAGTATCACCATCCAAAGATTTCGTGCTTGACACGAGATTATTTATTACTTAATGGGAAGGACGTGTACTTAAGTTAAGAAATTTTATGTATTCATTCCCAAGTTAATGGTTCTTTAGTCAAGTTTTAAATCCTTAGGACAAAGATAATAACCAAAAATTTAAGAAACTTGAACCAAGGCATTTACCTTTAGCCTTAATACATATTACCTCCTACTAAGAACTTTAATGATCCTTAAATTCAAGGAAACGGCTGACTTTTGTTAAGAACATATTTCTTTGGCCCTATTCAAAGACATGGCGATCTTGGTTTAAATTCGTTTTGCCTTCAGTTAAGATATCCTTTTTATCTGTGTACAATTTTAATTTGATATAGCATTTAAAAGCTGCGTTTTATTATAAAAACTGTTTGTAATTGTTTTCACAATTTTCAGCTGTCTACCAGCCCCCAAAATAGCTAAAATTAAAAGGAAAAATGTTAATTAGCTATACCATTGAAAGCTGTGTTAAAACATATAAACTGGTTATTATTTTTTTAATAATACGTTTTAAGCCCTCTACCACCTCCTCAGAAAATTTATAAAGACAAAGAATTGTACTTTTATCATGAAAATCCCAATTTTTTGCCTATACTGACAATACAATTTTCTAATAAAATTTCTAATTAAAAAGTATATATGTTTGTTTTAATAAAAGTATATGGGTTTGTAAAACAAGTAAAACATTAATTAATTAATATTATAAATTTTTATCTCTTAAACTATAAAAAATTACGTATATTCAATAAAAATCAATAATAAAATAAAGGAAGGCCACAGTATTTACGGGATAATGTATGAGAAGTTGCCTAAGTCTAATAAGTTGTCTTTAAAGAAATAACCTATTCTGTCAAGTCAAAATAAAAAATATCTTTAAATGATTAGGTGAAGGCAAAATGTATAAACAGAAGGATTGTTATTTATATTTTCAATTTTGTTCGAAAAAATAAAAATAGAACGAATGATTAAAACTGGTTTTCTCAGTAAGTTACAAAATTGCATTACAGCCACATACAATAATCAAAAGCAGAAATCTAGTTTTGCTGCATGAACATTTAAGATTAAAGGGAAGTTGAAGAACATCGTGAAATGATATTTATTGTTTATTTAAAACCTTTCAAGTTTCTGATGTCTATTTTTTCCAGAATTAGGTACTGTTACTATTACAAAAATAAATGTAATTTTTCTTCTTAGTGTACACATATCCATTTATTTCTTTGATTTAATTTCCGCTTTTCTACTGAAATTTTTTATAATTTACATTGTTTTTTGCTACTTAGTATTTTTACAATTTTCAACACAGCTTATTGTGTTTACCTACTTTTTTGACAAAAAAAGAAAAATGTATACATGTATTTGATGAGCTAAAATTACAAAATAGCGCTAGTATCGCTTTTGCTTCCCCTACCATGACTTCGCACTTAGCGAATAAGCGCCCTTTAATTTATACTCTTTTTAACATACCACTCCAACCATTTACATAAAAATAGTATCTTTTTTTAAACATTATATCTTCTCAACGTTAAATCACCTAGACCTAAAATCTTTAGAAAAATTTAAACGTCATAAAATTATAAATTTTACCCTTATATAATGAGAGTTGCCAAATACAACTGTAATGTTCAGAGATTTAAGTTCTAACCAATCATATTTTTGGGACATTTGCAATGCAACATTAGGCGGCAATTTTTCATCAAATTTAGTACAACGTAATGCCGAGAAAATAGCGCACTCTAGATGGCTCACAATGGCAAATCGTTTTTTTCGCTTCTATGCTGGAACGAAAAAGCCAACATCAAGCCTTAAGGATATTTCCAAATTCATAATTATTATACTGTATGCACCAATGTGTTTTAATATTAAACTAAATTTCAGTTCCACTAGTGTTAGTTTGCATGTATTTAAAACAATTGAACTGTCACGGTGTTTAAGAGATGATTTAAAAAGTATTGTGGATACGGTAATCCAAAGAACCGCGTATTTTATACACCCCAAAAAATTCTTTTGTGTATGCTAACAGACACTCGTGAATGGGTTCGGGAACTATCTCTACGAAGAATCTTAAAAGCTAGAGAAATCAGTCAAGAAACCGTTAGATTAAAACACTTTGTCGTACCAAAAATTAATTTCAGTGCTACAGACTACTTTGAGTTAATTTACTGGAATGAGTGCGATGTGACACCGTCTTCTGTTTCAAGTGATTTTACTGATGATATTCTTAGGGACCTTATAAAAGAAACCGAAATTCCAGACTTTCATTTTCTGAAGTTCCCTGTGCCGTACTCAATCCGTAGAGAGATGCGTAACATTAGTTACAGAGTCATTTTCTTTAGTAATTGGACCAGAATCAAGAGACGGCTTTATTCGCCCAAGAATAAAATCAGTAGAAATTATACCAACATTTAAAAGTAAACGACACTTTAAAATTCAGTAATTTTTTTTATTACTATGTTTTTTGTACTTAATGTGTTAGCTTTTAATATTTGATTTGTAAGCTTTTATGTTTGATTTGTTAGCTTTTATATTTCATTCCTCTAGTTACTTTTTACCATTTTTTAAATAAACGTGTTGTTTAGTTTTAATCGTGTAATGTTTATTTGTTGTACAAGTAATTTTTACCTTATCTTTCAAAGACAAAAGGATTAGACATTAGCTGAAAGGAGTAGTAGAGGGCTGAAGATGTTATATAAAAATATTAAAAATAAAGAGTGTGAATACAAACACTAAAATGTAACTTTCAGTAGATATTGTACGTTAAAATTTTATACTTTAACTTTTTACCCCTAAAGGGGGCGATAGAGGGCTGAAAATGTAGATTTAGAAATTTAAAAAAAAATAACGTAAAGTAAGCCCATCAAAACGCAAGTTTTGATTGTAAATTTAATTTTTATATTTTTTTAAAATATGCCTATTTTGGCCCAACCTACGCTATAACTTGCCACTTGTTTCTAGAGATGACTTGTATTTCTGGGTGTAAATTTTATTTCCAAAAATTGAGTTGTACTAATGAATGGCAAGTTGTATTACTAAGATATTGTATTTGTTTTAAAAGTAGAATGAATAATGTAAGCTATAATTTTGTTTAAAAATATTTTTGAATTTCTTTAGACATTAATTGTCACTAGAAAAATATCTTAAGTTATGTTTAGGTTAGGTTTTATCAAATTGTTTAATGAAAACAATTAAATGTGTATAAACTGCCTGCAGGGTGTTTTGATATAAAAAAGTATTGGTTTGGTCAGCCCGTCTTTTATGGACTACCCTATACGAGTATATTTAAGAATAATTGTTAGTTATGGTCATACAACTTTTATATTCATTTTTTTTTTTTCGTATTTCCAATAATAAAACAGCTATAGATCAATTACGCACTGATGGGATACCCCGTATTACGATACATTCATTTAGATATGGGAGGTATATCCATACTGCTTAATAACTCCAACAACTGACTTGACCCAATTCTAATCGAAATAGCTCCAATAAATACTGAACCATTAATTCGAGGTGTTTTTCTCTGAGGATTTTCACTATCTATCACCACTGCAGTGAAGTAATCCATGATGTGGAAAGTTTAACACCTGCTGAATTAGGTACTGGGCATCCACAATTCTCTAACCTTCCAAACAAAAAACTACATAAATATTATTACAAAATATATGCAGAGTATCCCAAAAGTCCGTGTACATAGATATATGTTGGTGAGATCAAAATAAGTCGATTGAACTGAAATTACCTATATCAAAAAGTGCTCCGTTTGTCTGTAAGGAAGCTTCAAAGTTGAAAGAAAATTTTTAACTTTTTTTAATAACTCAAAAACGATTTGTTCGATATTTATAAAATTTGGTATGAAGCTATTTTAATTAAAGATCCATTGCTCAAAGCAAAAATAACCTAACTAAAATCATGTAAGGTTAAAAACCACCTTAATCCTACCATACATGACATCGTATTTTTTTAAAAGCCGTCCCTGTTCGCTCAAATTTTTTTATGGAGGGCTGTATTCATTTTTAACATTTTTTGTCTCTTGTAAAAAGCATGTATCTCTCATGATATTTCAGTAAAAATTTTTTTATGGTTTTAATGGTTAGCGACTTAAAATTTTCAAGAAAACGAAGTTAGCCGTTATAACTACCGCAACTCTTACACTGTCGATTTTACAGTTACTACAATAAAACAAACACCAATAGGCATGGGTATCTACTGAAAAATAACAATTCACTGAGAAGGTTAAATTTGTTTTACAATAAATGTTCAATATGGCCAACTCCTTCATTCATGCAGATTTCAATTCGGCGCAAGAAATTGAAGTGTACCCTTCTACAAATGCCTAGATCATTTCGCAGAGTTTACAATGTTTTGAATTCCACCCCATATTTCAATGTTGTCTATAGGAACTTCATAAACTTTGGTTTTCAAGTGATCCCAGAAAAATATTCACAAGGAGGTGGCCACTGAATGGGAGCAACCCGACCTCTACCAATCCATCTTCCATGGTATTGTTCTTTTAAATAATCTCTCACAATGCGGCAAAAATGAGGTGGTGCAACATCGTAAATGAAAAACATGTCACGGAGTAAACTGAGCGGCAAGTCTTTCAACAGATATGGCAAATCTTGACGTGGAAAATACAAGTAACTGTCACCCTTAAGAGAATCTGGCAATCTAAATGGACCAATCAAGTACCTAGGTTTTAGCAATACCCACCCATACATTAATTTTTAACTCTTGTTGAAAATGTTTCTCTTCAATGGAATATGGCATCTGCGTAAATATGTTCGTTATGTGCATTTGGAATACCACGTCGTGTAAAATAAACTTTTCTGTAAACAAAATTTTTCTGTGCAAATACTAGATCGGCTGCTATGCGCTCTTGAATTTCTTGTACAAAATGTAAACCAAATTCTTAATCAGGAAGTAGGAGTTCCTGGATACTTTAAATGAAAAAGGGATAAATAAGTTGTTCTCTAATTATTCTCTTAGAGGTGCTTTTTAAAACCCTAGTTTGGCGTGCCTGTAGTCGGGAACTAATTCCGAAATTATTTTTAACTATTTCAAGTATTCCCTCCTCTGCAGCAAGAGTTCTGTCTTGACCAGGTCGTCCTGCAATATTTCTGTTCGGTATCAGTTGACCAGTTTCTAGAAGTCGTCTCTCGATAGAAGCAAAAGTGTGGTGATCGAAAATCTGTCGATTTGGAAATCTTTCATGGTATTCCAGAACACTCTTACGATAGTTGCCATTACAGAAGTCAAGTATTAGCAATATATCAATTTGTTTATTAAATGTACCCCATACCAGCTACAAAATGTTTGAAATAACTCCTTCACAATAACTGAGTGTAAAATAAAAAAAAACAATACATAAAAAGAGTAGTATCAACAATTTTTACAGTTCTACACCATATCTGTCAAAATTATTAAATTTTTTATTACTAACGTTAATAACCGCCAACTTAGTTTTCTTGAAAATTAAAGTATCTAACCATCTGTTTGAATTGTTATTTTTCAGTCGATACCTATGCCTATTGATGATTTTCTTTTATTGTTATAACGTTAAAAGCGACAGTTATCGAGTTGCGTTAGTTATAACTATCCATCAGTCCATAACATTGTTTTTTGCACAAATACGATGAGAGATACATGTTTTTTTTTCAGAGACAAATATGCTACAAATGGATAGAGCTCTTCATAAAAAAGATTGAGGAATCAAGGGTGGGCCCTCAAAAAAAATTCAATGTCATTTATGGTAGGGCTAGTGTGGTTTAAACCCTTCCATGACTTCAGTAGGTCTAATTTTCATACCAAATTTTATAAAAATTAAACGAAGCGTTTTTGAGATGAATTTTCTTTTAAGTTTGAACCTTCCTCACAGGCAAACGAAGCACTTTCTGATATAGGTAATTTTGGCTTTAGTGGATTGTCCCTATCGCAGTTAGACTTTATCTTCGTGTAATATGGTCATCATATCCACTCTTGTTGCACAAACTATAATTTTATCCCGTATACACCAAATTTGTTTTTGTGTCAAAAAAGGTGAAGGAAATTATTACTTTGTGTTATCAGAATTAGCAAAAAAGCAAATGTACCTTATTACTTTCTCATCAATGGTTGATAAAGTGTAGTTTTGTATTGTAGCCATAGAATAAATATTTTCATTATCTAAACAACTAAATATTCTGCTTCATTAATGTCTTTTTTATTTTGGCAATTAACGATTTATTTTCATAAAAGCCGGTATCTTTCGCTTTCAACAAAATGGGTTATACATTTCCATTAATTCAATAGATTACGCGAGTAAAAACAATAACCTCATTTGTGGGTCAGTTCATCTACCTCGTTTATCACAATTTCCTATATTTCTCTCCATTTCCAGCCTTTTTCTTAATGATAATAACCACTAATCGCCCCATTTTACCAACCTATCCAGGTATTATCCCATTATTGTTTCGAATTAATCCATTAATCAAGGCGGCTTTGTTAAACGAAGATCCCTGTATTGTCCGGTTTCGAATAAACCTGCAGAAAGCAAGGTACGGGACTACATACAGGAGTGTATATGTAACTATTGATGCTGAGTTAATTAGTATGAGGTTATGAAACAATTTCGCTTGGTTGGCGCGGTCAGCAGTAGGATTTCTCGTGGGATTTGTCTGAATTCGACAACATTGTTCGGCATGAATACATTCTTTAAATTACATTTGAAAAGGTATATTTTTTTGTAATACTTGCAGCACGTTGGTATTAGTTTTATAAAAATAATTATTCTTTGTTTTAATTCCTCTGAAATTTATAAAGTTTAATTAAACTAATAGATGAATTCAATTAATTGGTGCTAAAAATAATTAAAAATTGGGATATCTCTTTGTTCATAATTAGGAAGTTTATAGTTTAAAAATTCAACTTGAATAATTTGAGGGATATTTATTAGTTTTTTCACTTTATCGGTTTCATGTAAAAATATTTGGGCCATTTACCCTCGAGTTGGAACGTTTGTCTCTTAAGCTCTCTAAATAAAATTATTTAGGATCTTTATTCCTTAAAACCTATTGACGCCCAGAATTATTTTTGGTTTAATATTTTATACCTTTTCATATGTTTGTAATAATATGGTCCTAGTTTGATAAAAAAGGTAATTTTAGTTAAGATCATGTGTCCACTAGAGAGAAAAAAGCTGATACCATATGGTATCACTGGGTGTATATGCTACTGAAAAGTATGAAAACACTAAATATTCAAAATATATATATTTTTTTCGAAACAATATTTCAAAACATTATATTGTGTGATAGCTAGCGAAACAAGATACACATAGACCAACGTCATATTTAGAACACATTGTTCTTCCAAAGCTGTTGCAACCAGTGCCAGCACAACGTCGTTTATTGCAAGGAGCAACGTAATGGTGCATACCATCATACCAAATAACTGGTAAAAGAGTGCGGGTGACAGACGTTCTTATAGGGCCTGTTGATTTTGGTGGCATGCCATAACATGCTAAATAAACTTGCGCTAACTCCCTTCTGAAGTCCAAATTGGACGTTTTGTTGTGGTTTTGTCTATACAAAAACCAAGCATTGTTTATTACTAAATCTAAAATCCACGCAAAAATTGACCAATACCACTTTTTACCGCGAATACAAACTCTATAATTCGCAATGCCCTTGTCCATTTAGTCAGTTCTTCCCATATGACGGTTATATTGCGCAATACAATCAGGACGATTAATCATTATATGTTTTTTCTGTTGCTGAGAATATCGCTTGACTGTACTTACTGCAGAAACACCTACATTTTTTGCAAACAACACTTTTTTATTTTGTCCATGAGGCCGTATTTTCCAAGCTTTATCCGATGCGTCCATATAGGTATTTTCTGTAAAGTGGATAAATCTTTGTATTTGTAGACACGTATTTCGTCACATGGATTTACAAACTAAATTATTTTTGGCATCATCTTTCACGTCCCAATACAATCCTTTAGAAGGAAGTGAGTTATATCCACTTAGAATGAGGATACCTTGGAAACATTTTATTTCAGATGAAGTTATTTGTGGGTCTAAATTATTACAAAATTGGGCATAATTTTGTGTTTCATCTACCAAATAATTAATCACTTCGTCATCAAAAAATAATTCGAAAATATCTACGCAAGTCATATTTTCAAACTTCTTGTATTCTTTCGGAAACGAACGGGACGATGCAGGCTCGAGATCTTCTTCAATCCATACAGAATCCTATTTTTGTCATGGAGATAATTCCTAATCCACTCGTCTAGCTAAATTTTATTATTATTATTATTATTATTATGATGGGGAGTTGATAGAGTAGAATTTTGAGCTGTAGATGCCTGTGTAGTTGATTCTGCGGAAACCTCTTTATGATTATTGCTACCCATAGGTGAATTATTTATACATTCTATTTCCGCGGGAGCACTTAACTGGCGACCTGTTATGAATCATACCCCCAGCGGAATCTTCATCGGTGTCTACGTTAAGTTTAGGAGGTTCAATAAATGTTCCGTCTATTCTGTTTGCAAAATCGTCATATGCGTAAACCATATCCAATGCCTTCGACAATGAAAATTCACGTCTGAAAAAAATATAAAAGTAGTTGTAACGCCCAGTGATACCATATGGTATCATCAAATTTTATGGCCATTTCATAACTTCTTGATATTAAAAAATAAATACCTTTATCTTACATATTGCTCTTTACACCATTTCACTTCTATAGTAAAACTTATATTTTGCAAAAACTACAAAGAAAATTTACTTACTCGAAGCGACGGTCCATGTTTTCTTATTTATGTAACACACGGTGCTAACAAACACGTGTTCTTAAGTTTATAAATAAACAACCACTCACCAAAACAGTTTTACGGCAACTGCTAAAGATACCCGAAACCAACACAGCGGCCGAAATTATTCCCCTACCGATATTAATAAAATGGCCGACGTCCTGAAAATGACTAATATAGTGATACCATATGGTATCACTGGGCGCTGATCAGTTGCTAGCCCATATTAAAATACTATTTGGGACTTTTACCTTATAGATCATATTATTAAATTCAGAATAGAGTACTATTGTGGAGTTCGTTAAGACTTGTGCAAAAAACTTCATTTAGTTCACTACCATTTTTCGCTTCAACTTAAAACATTTTTTTCTTATCACTTTTACTTTTAAGAATTACCCGCTTAAATAACATCCTTTTAAAGATGTTTAAAATTATTTTATTAATTTATTTGAAATTAAAGAATGTCAGCAATACAGAAAATGTATATCATTTCATCATTGACAAGTAAGGCTATCTAGTAAAATCACATATGCCGTAATGCATAAAATAAACTATACAGCCCATGCATTGCTGCACTTTTACCTATGTAATTTTAACCGCCGAGTCCGAATTTGCAGCTTCCCACCAAAATTTACCTCGGCAATGTTGATATTATTACATAAAATACATTTTCCGCCCAAATTTTGTATTTTGCTCGCTTCTATGCATTTTAATAAAAAAGTAGTTATTTTCAAAATTGGAGAGCTCTAAATTTCACGAATAAATTATGCATCTGGCCCGGCGTAAACAAAAAGTGACACCACGAAGGGACACTACGAGAGGCGGTTCCTAATATGCGCTTGTTGTTGCCCCTCTTTTTACTTGTCTTGTCTGGCATATTCAGCATGGTATGGATAACGTTTGCCAGATTAGGGGAATTTTATAAAAAATTGGGGGATATTATTTATCGCTGGGATATTTATTAGAGGTATCTTTTTGTTATAATTACACGCAACGCAACGTTTTCATCGATTTGTGACGCCTACGTCGAATATGATCGATCAAAATATCTCACCGATTGTGTTACTGTTTGCGATGGATACATTGATGGAATTCAAAATTGCAACACTAAATATGCGGAAAGAGTGAGAAGAGAGGGAAGCCATTCATCGTTAGACATACTTGTTAATGGGTCAATTTTCCTCGACGGTAGTTCAAGATACATTTTTATCTATTTTTTAATAGTAGAAATAAGCATACACTTGTTGTTAAAGGACAAGTTTAGAACTAAATATTTTGAAGTTCGTTAGGCTCCAGAAGATGACAGTTTTATTGTCCATACGGCCAATATAGAAGTAGAAAATTACAATTAAGTATTCATTGTAGGGAAGGATGTTGAGTTGCTAGTTTTATATACAACCCTGTGTAAAAGTCCCAAGATTTATTTCCTATAACCTGGTAAAGGGAAAATAACACAGAAATTATACTCAGGTTATAGTCTTAAAGATGCATTTGTCTCCAAAAATATTCTGCTTATTCAGGCATTTAGTGGCTGCGACGCCACTTCTGATGTATTCGGATAAGGTAAACATAAGTTTATTGATCAGCAATTCTAACTTATGGCCTGTCGCGGAGAATAAACCTGGAAGCGACTATATATGCAGGTAACCAGATTTTATTAAAGTCTACCAACAACGAAGGCCTCAGCTAAACAACATTCGCTTTGACTTGGGAGCTATTTGACCCCTGAAAATTGGAGCTGGAGAAGATCTCACGCAGGCCTAATTCCAGTCATTACTGAACTACCGCTTGATCCGCCGTAATTTTTAAGGCAACTTGCATGCAAATGCAAGAAAGGCTGTCATGGAGAATGTGCCTGTAGAAAAAGCAGTCTGAAATGTTTAATAACCTGTCCTCATTGTAAAATCGCATGTCAATATGCCTCAAATGAAGACATCGATGATCTGACGGATGATGAAGACGATCCCCAAGAAGTCGCCCTTCAGTTATCAGAAAATTGATGAGGGAACAGATGAAGATGCATTGGATGAATTAAATATTGCAATTTTAGATTCAGAAAACTTTCCAGGTTAGTTGCACTTATCTTTGTGTCTCTCTCATTATAAAAGCTGAATTTACCGATTTATCAATTATTTGTTAAAATTTTTTGGTCAAAATTATTGTTCTTAATTTCTACTTATGCATTTATTATTTTACCCTTCACAAACTAGCCTGTGAAGAGTAGTATGCATTTGATTCGTTTTTTGTCCCTACAATAAATCAAAAACGAAAAACAATATCAATTTAAAAATTTTAGAAAAATCCAGCTTTACAAAGGAAACGAGAAATAATATCAATTCTAAATTTTTAACAAAAATCCAGATCTAGATAATACCTATTGATTTAAATTTTTTTTAAAAGGGGGGAGTTAGTGGAGGTTAAAACAAAAAAAAAAAGAGAAATAAAACACCAAGAGTGATAACGAATGATTTTTTTTGTAAAATTCAAATTCTATAAAGGAATGAAAAAAAAAAAATCTGAATAAAAATGGGGGATAAAGTTAGTTGAAATAAAAAAAAAATCCTAACTTCGAAATAAATTACGACATTAAATTGAAATCTTTAGAAAAAATCAAGCTTCATAAGAGGATTTAGTGTGAAAAAGTTTCGATTGAAAATGGGGGTTAAGGAGGGATTTGTTAAACTATGAATAGTACAATATAGAATGCCAAGCATTATATTTCTTTATTGTAGTTTCTTTATATGTATTCAATGCAACAATGGGTGCAATAGGGGAGGGGTGAGGTAGGGATGATAGTAATAAGCCACTGCAATATTTAGTAGGAAAGGATAAAACATTGAGTTTTCAATAACAGGTACAGTCTGTTTCAGTTTCATAAAACACCTGTTTCAAAAAACTGTTCCATTTCCAAGTTTTTCCAAAAATTTAAACCGTTGTTTGTTCTATCGCGTCTGTTGCGACTTGCGGGCACGGAGCCATACAGAAACACTGAAACTAAAACAAACCAGTTCCACGTCGACAAAACAGTTGGATTTTTTAATGTTTTAGTTGCAATATAGTAGTCGCAAAAACGCAAATTTTAATCAGTAGTATTTCTTAGCAATTTAGGAAGTAGAAACAACTTGATAGTTGTTATTAATTATTATTACGTAATTTAAACGCCTATTTATTTATAAATATGTGTTTTTTTGCTGAATTGAAACAAAAAAATAAACACTCTGGCTAGTGGCTAGTCTAGTCAGTTGCATTTCTTACAATAAATTATTATAAATGCTAAAATAAGCATACATATTTTTTATGTATCAGGATAGCAGGAGGCGGAAGTGGTATTTAGATATTTTAAAGTACCTATTTATTATCTAAGAAAGTCAACTGGGGTACTAGGAGGGGATTTATTATTATTTTAAAACAAAACTAAAATAAAAACACTATTTAATGAATAATACAGTAAAACCTTTATTTTATTTTTGTTTTATTTCAGAAAAATAACACGGATGAAAGATTCCATATTATTCATTAATTAATAATAAATAAAAAGTTGTTCCAATATTGCTGTGGGATAGTATGTACAAATGAACTATTTTTGCGTATACTGACAATAAAATTTTTAATTGAATTCGTAATTAAGAAGTATATGTTAGTTTTAATAAAAGTATATGGATTTGTAAAACAAGTAAAACATTAATTTATTATTATTATTATATATTTTTATCGCTTAAACTAATAAAGAAAATAGGTATTATCAATAAAAATCAATAATAAAATATAGACAAGCAAAAGTATTTACGAGAAAATGTATGAGAAGTTGCCTAAGTCTAATAAGTTGTCTTTGGAGAATTAACCTATTCTGTCAAAATAAAAAAAATACCAATAAATAATAACATGAAGTTAAAATGTATAAACAAAAGGATTATTATTTATAGTTTCATTTTTCTTCGAAACATAGAACATAGAATGAACGATTAAAACTAACTTTTCTTTAACAGTGTCAATTTATTCGTTGTTTAAACTTCTTTTACACAACGAAGGAATCGGCCCTAAGTGCCTTAAAAACACACATATGTGACATTGTAACAACCAGCATGCCTAAAGACCATTTGCAACTACTGATAGGCCTTTAGCTACTGTTGTCATTATTCTATTAAGGGATTAGGGCAGCGTTGTCACCAGCCAAAGGGTCCTGGAGTCCTGAAGGAACCGCCATTCGCCAGTGGCAAAAGAAAATAAAGAAAAAATAATAAAATACAAAAAAAACATCCCTTAATAGCATATGTCGAGCGGTTCTTGGCAACTAGTTTTAGAATCTTTTAGTCCTAAGGGAATAAAAACGCCAAGGCTTCTCAAATGCTCGGAGTATTTTGCTCGTTTGGAAAGGTAGGAGAGATTAATAATAAGTATTAAAATATTAACAAATGTATATTTACAATAAATATAAAACTTGACAAATAGTCTTCAGAAAAATGAATAAAATTCCATTTAGGGAATAATGCACTATAACTAATAGTAATAAAGATATGTATAAAATATAATTCGGGACGAAAATGTAAAATTGGCATTTATATATAAATCAATTAATCAATTATTATTAAACAAAATTACTGTAAAATTAAGTTAAAATATTTACCTATAAGTCACATCGTACACAAAAACTATACTCTACACTTTACTTTACAATACAAAACCAGGGTTTCGCCCAAGGGGCGAAAGTTCTGGACCTTAGTCCGAACCCGACTGAGAGTTTACCCAAGTGATCCTTTCTATATAAACCAAAATTTATATGACTGTTGATTGTATTTAACAATGTCACGTTCAATGTAGATTAATAAATTGAAGGTTTGTTTCATAGTGTCTTTTTAATTATTTAATTTAAACATTAAATACTTGTTTAGAATTTTTGGTAAATTCTTTAGATTTTTTCAATTAATAATAATGCCAATTATTACATTATTCCCCCAACAGAAAAAAAATTGAACTACTTGTTCAATTCTGTTTAAAACCCTTAATGTAAATAATTTACAAAAATTTTTAAAACAATCTACAATAATATGATAACCTCACGCTTGCTTCACTGCACAAGTTGTATCTTCTTAATGAGCTGGCCGTAACTACCCTTTGCTTTCTGGCTGTCACCTCTCACATCCCCTGATCCTTGACCTTCCTGGAATGGTCCCTTCCCGATCTGGTTTGGTCCTTGGGCTGCTAAACCTGGTAACCCTTTTAGCTGAGGTTACGGGTTCTTTCTGCTGCGGTAGTCTATTAATTTTCCAATAGACTCTGGCTTTGGACTCTCTGGTTGACTATTTGCTCTGGACTGCTTCTCTCGTTTGTTACTCTGAGACTGCTACTGTACATGGCTGCTACTGGTGGGTCCGTATTGACTTATTACTGGAAATGGCCTCTTTCATTGAACCTTAGTCCATTCCGTATGAATTCTTTGGTCCCTTTGTTTGCATTTTACTCCACCTTATTCCTGCTGTGGATTTGGCTCCCACAGACTCAAAATGGACCCGACATCATGTCAAGCTCCCTTGGCGGTATAACTCATGCCCTCTGAGAGCTTGGTGGTACTGGTTGGCCCCTTGATTTTGGATTTAGATGTAGCAGTCTCTTTGTAGCCTTGGATTCTGGGGTCCTGGAATTCGGCCCATTCTATGCTGTTGATCGTGGAATCGTGGAACTCTGGGGTCCCTTGGTACGGTCCTGGATTTGGGTAACTATCACGATTTGGACTTCGTGATCGTCCTGGAAACGGTGCTGATGATGACTCTGGCAAAGGTAGTAAGGTGTTGACCTCTTCTTCTTTCTTCTTTTCCTTCTTCTTTTTCTTCTTCTTGTGCAGTGGCAACGTCTTTTGATTACCCCTATGACAAAATTATTATTTACATTTCAGGTTTACAAAAAAAATTTATAATAATTTCCTTAATTACCCAAATTAAAAGCACATTTATAGTTACGAAAACAAACATGTTTTTATTATCTCGAAATAATTTGTTATTAATGAACTTGAAAAAATATTCTTTATTTATTTTTAAATTGTAATTTACTATAAGTATTAAATTCCATAAATTGTAACTAGAATAATTATGTGTGGATTGTTTAATCCGAGAATAACCAATTTATGTACTTTTTATTTTATGTCATCAAATTTCCAAAATTCTTGTGGAATCATGCATTTTAATAATCTACTAAGATCTTATAATTAGTCTCACCATTTTTATTTTCGAACGAATTAATAATCAAAGCTAGTATGTTTTATTAGAGAAACAATGTTATTATTTATTTCCTGGCCATTAAAAATAAACAACATATATCTTTAAGAATAAAACATACTTTTGTTAAATGCACATAAGCGTAGGTTAAATAATTGTCTACGCCTAATAAAACCCAATAAAATACCCTTTTTAAATAATTATTATCCAATAAATAACCCTTTTAAAATAATTTTTAAGTCATTAATTCTATACTACTTCTTTTGAAATTTCCTATATTGTAATATTTACTACTTCTAATCTGTTGAATTTAAACTTTAAAATATATGATTAATACCCTACTTTACCTATTTATTTCATATATATTTTTACCACCTGTTGATATATATATTTCCTTTTCTTCTTACTCTTCTTTCGATTTCGCTTGAAATTCTGCATCTCCATACTTTGAAACTTTCCTGTTTCTATCGCAATTTTCTCATCTGGTGGCGCGTCCTGGCGCCTGGCATAGCGGCGTAGCTCTCTGGTAGAGCGGCGTTGCTTCTTGGTAGAGCGATCTGGCTCCTAAAAAATCGTTATTGCTCCCTGGTAGAGCGGCGTTCTCCTAATTACTTGACGTTGCTCCCTGATAGAGCGGTCTGAATCCTATTTTTCCCTCGTGGACATCTTGTTCTGACATCAAAGGGCGTTGTTTAGGGCTGGTCGGAAATTATGTCGATCCATGTGACCCCAAACTCCCTCCAATCTGTTTACCTAAATTTGTCACCATCACAGTCTGGGGAAAAGTTCCT